TCTGTCATATATAATTAAATACTCAAAGGATTTTCTTCTTCCAAGGAAAGAAAAAGCAGAATTCAAAGAAGTGTTGCCCAAAATGACAGGTTTGTGTTTTTTTTAACCCCACTAGTACTACATTATTACAGATAAAGCCTATTACCTGATGGAAATTTGAGAGCCAAAATGTGAGCCACACTTGTTATGTTACAGACCTCGGCATTTCAATTCCTCTCTTCTGAAATGAGGCTCAGACTAGCACGAAAAGCTCCTCTTTTTCTAAATGTAGAAACATCTTGGGCTTTGGAATGAGAAAGACTGCTGGAATCAATTAGGCAAGATACTTAACCTCCAAGAGCAGTTACTGCAGCTATAAAATAAGGATAATGGTGACTACCTTCATTTAATCATTCAACATATATTTATTGAGAATATTTTAAGTATGAAGCACTGGGTACATAAAGGTACATGTATATGCAGATATAAACACACACGAGGGACTTCCCTGGTGGTGCAGTGGTTAAGAATCCACCTGCCAATGCAGAGGACACGGGTTCGAGCCCTGGTCCGGGAAGACCCCACATGCCGTGGAGCAACTAAGCCCATGCGCCACACCTACTGAAGCCTGAGCGCCTAGAGCCCATGCTCCGCAACAAGAGAAGCCACGGCAATAAGAAGCCCGCACACCGCAACGAAGAGTAGCCCCTGCTCGCCGCAACTAGAGAAAGCCCACACGCAGCAACGAAGACCCAACACAGCCAAACATAAATAATAAATAAATAAATTTATATTAAAAAACAAAAACACATGGACTTCAGGGAAAACATAGCATAATGCTGATAGACCTTTACATTCTGGGCAGAACAGCTGAGCTTGCTCAGTGAATATGACTAGACCACGAAGACCTAAAGACACTGACATCAGAGATTACCAAACTAAATGGCCCAGCTAGATTGCCACACTGAGCAGCTCACTGTGACAAGTCCTACCTAGAACCTCAGAGATTCTAACCATTTTGCTAGCTTCCACTCTTATATCTGAGCAGAAGGGCAAAAATTATGAGTCTCTAAAATGACATATTCAGGAAAAACACCAGAAACAAACCATAATGGAGGAAAGAGACACCATGCAGGGAGAATTTTTTACATGATCATTGACATTCTCAAAGGGAAGAGAAGATATTTCAACCAGGATAAAAACCAATTATATATGTGTATGTATATATGTTTTACATACACACAGATACATCTATATCTTTGTGAAAGAAACATCTAGAGAACAAATGAAAAGCTCAATAAAAGGGTTAGAAGACAAAGGCAAGGGAATTTCCTACAGAGCAAAAAGACTGGAAGATGGAAAATAAAGGGCAAAAAAATCAGAGGACTAGACCAGAAGGTCCAATATATGAATTACAAAAATTCTCCAAAGAAAGAACAGAGAAAATGGAAGGGAGGAAGCCACTGAAACAACTCAAGAAAATGAGCAGAGTTTCCAGATTGAAAGGACTCACTAAGTACATGCCAAGTACCATTGTTAAAAGTAAACCCAGGGGCTTCCCTGGTGGCGCAGTGGTTGAGAGTCCTCCTGCCGATGCAGGGGACACAGGTTCGTGTCCCGGTCTGGGAAGATCCTACATGCTGCGGAGTGGCTGGGCCCATAAGCCATGGCTGCTGGGCCTGCGCGTCCGGAGCCTGTGATCTGCAACGGGAGAGGCCACAACAGTGAGAGGCCCGCGTACCGAAAAAAAAAAAAAAAGTAAACCCAGACCTGGGCACTCTGTTAAGAAGCTGAAAAACACTGGAGACAAAGAGAAGATCCTATATATTTCCAGGGACTGAAAACAAGTCACATGAAAGAACTCAGAATTAGAATGCTTTGTACTTCTTAAGAAATACTGGAAGCTAGAAAGCAATGGAACAATGCCTTCCAAATTTCGAAGGGAAATAATTTCTAATCAATACCAAAACTACCATTTAAGTGTGATGGTAAATCAAAAACATTTGTAGAAGTGCAAGACTTCAAATATTTTACCTCATATTCACCCTTTCTCAGAAAGCTCCATTTTGCTGGAGATGCTACAGTAAAATGAGAGAATAAACCAAAATGAGAGAGTAAATTAGAGTGTCCAAGAAGAAGACATAGGATTCAGGAAACAGGGATTCCAATATAGAAGAGAGATGAAGAATTCCCAGAATAATAATGAAAAGAGATTCAGGGAGGAGAGCTGTGCAGTACATGTCGAGGGCACCAGTCCAGAGGCTTTGCAAGAGAATTCATCCCAAAGATAAAATTAAGAGAATGATGCATCTGAACAACCTGAAAGAAGATTAAGCAATTGGTGAGGAGCTTGGGGTTGAATCTGTGATAAGTTCAGAAAAAGAACCAGGAGCAAGATAACATTATTTGCTCCAGGAAAAGTAGAAAGTTGCATAGAAAAGAAAAAGTTTACTATGTGGCTTAGATGTTAAAAGCATTGTATAGTCATAATAATATAAGCACTAAATATTCAGTGAATCAAAATTATGGTATGTCTATTGTGTGGATAAAAGTTATAAAAGGTATGAATATGAAATGGGGATAGGAAGGGGAAAGAGAGTTAAATTTTTCTTCCATAATGGGATATCAATACATGCTGCTTAAAACATGTATTTTAAGAAATACAAGAAATAAAGATATTTCTTTAAGAATCAAGGAATATCAATACCAGCATGTGATTTAGAAAAATAATGGTTAAATACCAAAATAATTAACTTAAAAAGATGTAAATGGTAGCCTCTGGGAAGAGGCAAACAGGGGTAGGGCATGAGAGCGGGAGACTGCTGTTGTTAGTAACTCCTGGCGGAACCTGGCTGAGTAGATCTCACCCTGACCACACAAGGGAATTATGCTGATACCTGAGACCCACCCCAGGCCAAGCAAATTAGAATCACAGGAGTTGGGACCCAGGTACAAGTGGTTTTGAAGAGGGCTCTGAATGTTTCTGATGCACAGAAAGAGAACTACAGCTTTCAACTATATGGATGAGTTACTTTCATAAAAATTAAAAAGTAATACTGAAATGAAGAAATAATATGAAGTGTTTGTATTTACATGAAGAAACATTTAGAAAACACATATATGTTCATAAAACATTCATATGGATGAAATGGATATAACAAAGTATGTACTGAAGAAATAATACATGTCACCCAGTTCTTTTTCATTAGAAACTTGCAAAATGATAGTTTAAGAATTTTTACGTGCTTTGTGGGAAAAGTAAATGTCAGACACTTTCACATGTTAACACAGAGAACTGCACACCTGATTCAGAGGCATTAACTAATTTTTTAAAAAAGACCAAATTAGTCTACATCATGCTCTCATTTGCCTACTGCACATGGGCTCCCCATTTCATTTCTAAACATCAGAATGTTCTTGACAATTTAATTTTTTAGAGGAGTGACACTGCATGTGCCATCAACACCAAACACACACAGAAATCTATTATTCCACTGTTATCCTGGGTGTTGGGATATTGAAATTTAGAATTAAATCATGAGACATAATTCCAATTATGCACAATGGTGTTTTTTCAAAATCATCATCCAATACGCAGTCTACATCCAACCGACACTCTGGAAATAGCAGGTACATAACATGAATGATATTCTTGAGATTATAAAAGATGGTATCAAATAATGTCCAATTAAATTGAGAGAAATTAATAGATTGTGAAAATACTTTCAACACATGCTAGATCATAGTAAGCAATACACTTGCTTACTGTGCATCAACACATTCTGTTACATTGTTAAACTGTAGCAAATGTTTCCTTTTCATTGACAAAGGCACAGAATGCTTTTTTTGAATTCTGTGAAGACACAAAATGCCTGGACTCTTCTGATTTTATATGTTTAAATGGGGTAGCCAATAAACCTTTTCCTTTAGCAGCCTCCCACCCTCTCAAAAAGATTAAAAATGACAACAGCACACTCACAATTTAAGAGTGTACATAGCTAGTTTTCCTAAAAATCAAAAGTTGTAACGTTAAACTTGACAAAATGGGTAGCAAGAAACATGCTGAACAATGTAGGGTGGGATGGATGCTCCTGGAATTCCGACTTTAAAAAGTGAAACTAAGCATGAAAATTAGATGGAAAAATATGCTTGGGGTCAGCTTTTTTGGCTACCAAACATTTCTATTGCTCTCCTGAAATAAACCTATTAACGTTTGCTTCCCCATCTAATTATATGAACACCCACAACAGAAATAATTTTAATTGGCAGATCTGTGTTTCCAGCATATTTCTGAGTATACTGTCCACTAATGAAATATTCCAACCACATACAAAGGGCTCCAAAAATTCTGTTTTCATTTTCCTCTAAATTACTATTGTTTGAATTCTAACATCCAACTTTAAAGTGTCTCACTGCTGCCATTCTTTATATAATCATTGAAAACCACTGCTTCTATAGCAAAATATAAAAGAAAGGATTTTCACATTAAGTCCCTGTTACTTATTTCAGAATTCAGGGTCATCTTTTTTTACTTACTGTCGCAAATCAAAAAAAACAATAAGTGCATCTAAAACAATTTGTGTTGATATTCAATGAATATAACTCTATAACATGGGATAGAAATTCCACTTAAACTATAGTAGCTCAGTGTATAGAGGGGAAAAAGTTTGAAAACTAGAAAATAAAATGTTCCCATATACTTCAACCTCTATAAAAGAAAACTATTCTGGGTTATATAACAAAAATAAACCTCCCACCAGTGATCTTGGAAATCTTGAATTTTTTTTCCCGCAGGAGGATTTATTATTTTCCACTGAGTGTCCATTCATGCGTTTTCTTCTTGTTTCTATTCATAGCACCAGATCCTGACTAGCATGCACAACCTCAAAAGAAAAGAAAGACTAAATACAAACTGTGTAAAATTAAATAAAATAAAGCAAAATAAAAAGGCACATGTTCAGACTGGTTACCTCAGGGTGGTGCCATAGTGTCTAACGTGGAATAGCGCTCGTGGAACTCACCTTATACGCAACACTATTGGATGAATCCACAATGATGAACAGGGGCTTCCTTGTGAAAGGATAGAGATCTCCTGGATGAAGGCTGGGAAAACAACAACAAGAGTAACAGTGAATGACTGTATAACTTTATCAGCCAAGTCTCAGAAATCTTATTCATCAGTTTGGTCTGCTCACATCTCCTTTTTGTCACAGCACTGGGAGAAAAACAAAGATTAATTAAGCAAAAGACCAAAAAAGTCTGTATTTACTGGGGTAGACAAGTTAACAGTTTTATTTGGAAAAAAAAAATTCGAACATAATTATTATTCAAGAATATTCAAGCTGAAGAGAAGTCTATATATTTAATATATATATTAATATATTTAAAGATGGATTAATAAATACACATGAAAATCCCAGAAGTCAGCATTTAGGGACTTACTTAGTATTTATAAGTTCCTCCTAAGAACATGTTCTGAAAACAAGATGTAATAACACAACCAGATTTCTATTTCAATGAATCTTTCAAAATCTATATCCATTTTAAAGATTTTTATTATTTTAAGCTATATCTTAATATTGCAGACAATAAGCAGGGGCTCCCCTTCTATTATCTACATTTCCTCTGGACATGTGCATCAGAATCAGCTGGGGTGCTTGTTAAAGATACAGATTCACTGTGGCCCACAGAAGGCTAAAGTCCAGTAACATGCATTTCAGAGCCACTGCTTAAGGTCACAATTTTGGTGTGCATGCTCTTTCCCATGGTTGGTGGACAATGTGGGTAGTTTATAAATATTAATGTAAATATACAAAATGATGTTGTCAATGAGCAATATCATCAAACCCCAATATATTTCAAATACAAGTTTTTCTGATATAAATCATTTACAACTATGGTCAACTATAGCACCAACACATGGCTTGGGGGACAATTAGCTATTATATGTGTAATTTGAAACATTTCCCTCTGCCCTCCCTTCCCCACTCTTTAATATGAACAGTTATATTTTTATGTAAAGTGCTATTAAAAATGCAGTTTCAAGCAAGTCCTGTTTCCTCTATAATGAGACTGCTCTCTCTCAGCTAGGGAAGTTTTAGAGCCTATAATGGCCCAACCAGTGAATGCACTGAGCAAACTTTCATGGATGAAATCTCCTTGAAATCATACAGCTAACTTCATTTTTGCTATATCACACCAACATAACCTTATATTAAAAAGCTTATATTGGAAAAAAAAGCTTATATTGGGCTTCCCTGATGGCACAGGGTTAAGAATCCACCTGCCAATGCAGGGGACATGGGTTCAAGCCCTGGTCCGGGAAGATCCCACATGCCGCAGAGCAACTAAGCCCGTGCACCACAACTACTGAGCCTGCGAGCCACAACTACTGAGCCTGTGTGCCACAACTACTGAAGCCCGTGCACCTAGAGCCTGTGCTCCGCAACAAGAGAAGCCACTGCAATGAGAAGCCCACGCACCACAACAAAGAGTAGCCCCGCTCGCCGCAACTAGAGAAAAGCCCGCGTGCAGCAACAAAGACCCAACACAGCCAAAAATAAAATTAATTAATTTTAAAAAGGTTTATTTTGATATTAACGTGCATCATGTCCTGCCTTATTATTTATGTATATATTTATTGTCTCCTCCAACTTGAATGAACAGATCTCCAGTGATTGAATAGTTCCTGACATATAATACATACTCAATAAAAAATTGTAAAATAAATATTAACCAACAATTCTAATTGCCTAAGATAGTCAGAGCCTGAGATATTGCTGGAATCCAAATAAGTGTTATGAATAGCAGTCTAAGGGAACATTCCATTTTACTTAATATTTTATAAGAGAGAACTATGATTTTTATAATACATACCAGTGCATTTCTTTGTGGGATTGATTTCGTTTGTGGATGGCATCTCCATTTATAATATCCCGGTTACTATTAGTAAGTACCCCTCCAAAATCATAAGGACCTATAAAAAGAAAGGGAAGAATCCTAGACTTCAATTGGAGAGTAGCATTGATCTGATGTTCAAACACAAAGGTGTTGGGTGAATCTTTCATTGATACAAATGGAAGATAATTACAAAACATTTTTATTAATTTAACATTTTAGTTTAACTTAGCATTTAAATGATTTCAGCATGTTGCCTGTTCCAATATTTTAAAAGATCATCTGACCATCTTCATCAGTTCTTCAGATTATAATGAGAAACAAAACAAGAATCTACTGCATCCCATTATTCTGGGTAAAAAAGAGATGGAGATCTGGGATGTTCAAAATGATCTTCTCATTTCAAGCAAAACTAAAATCTCAAGTCCAACAAAATTATTTAAGTAAGAAAGTTGCAGAATGGAGTCCTAATAATTTCTTAAATATAATTTTAAGAGGGCCACTAATTGTAAAATGTAGGGAAATTTTTGAATGGAACTTGAAAATTCTCACTGACAAAAACTTCATTTTTAAGAAAAGAATTACCAAATACCAGTGTAGGAAAAAATCCACTATCATTATTATTACATCAACCACTGTAATTCCGGTTTGGGAATTAGCCGTTTCCCACTGGTCCTATCAGTTAGTTAAATAAACTCTTGTGTAAATGGAACAGCAACCGTGGGATGTTAGGAATAATCTCTCTCAAAGGACCATTCAGTTAGTAACTACTGTACTTTGAAAAAAGTAAAACAAGAGATCAATACATTAGGTGGGGCCCAGAAAATCTGATTCAATAGTGTATAAGATATGGAAATAATTATTTATAAATAAAAGTACTAACTTTATCACCAAAAAATTAAAGTATTTATGATTTTGCATCACTTTTTTTTTTTTTTTTTTGCAGTACGCAGGCCTCTCACTGTTGTGGCCTCTCCCGCTGCGGAGAACAGGCTCCGGACGCACAGGCTCAGCAGCCATGGCTCACGGGCCCAGCTGCTCCACGGCATGTGGGATCTTCCTGGACCGGGGCACGAACCCGTGTCCCCTGCATCGGCAGGCAGACTCTCACCCACTGCACCACCCGATTTTGCATCACTTTTAATAGTGTTATAGTTTATCCCTTAAAAAAAATCACTGCAATGAAGAGAGATTTATTTTGTTTTGTTTTCATTTTAACACTTTAAGAGGATCTGTAGGTCATGCAAGGAAGATGGCAGGGACATGCATTGTATAAAGGAATGCAAATTTCAACAAACAAATGAGGAGGAAAATGTTAAGGATGTTAAGAACAATTTTTTTTTTGTCCAGGTAAAGATTTAATTGCCTTGTTTACATCCAAGCTACTCATCTAGTTCAACCAATTTCATATATTCTGGACTCACATGTTCTGGACAGCTTCAAGTTTTTATTCTAAAATAGCATCCCAATATTCTACAGATTGAATCCATAAAACCAAAGAAAGGACACAAAATAAAATTATGTCAAGGACTTGAACTTTCACAGTTACAAAAGTGCACTGATTTCTACAAGACTTTCAGCCACAGTGAAGCCGCTGACCAGATTCCCTAACACACAAAAGGCTCAGAAAAATTCAACGATGTGAAGTAGATAATTAGGCTTGGTTATTCCATGCACATATATGTGTTTGCTTTTAGCAAATCTGTTAGAGAGGCATGCATGTAGTATGTGAATTTGCTGATTTTTTTTAACTTTACTGTATAATATTTCAGCAAATAAAACAGACTGGGGTATCTACAAGATTGCCAATTCAGCAAACAGACCAGGTTTCAAATTTGGGAGCCTCTCTAGAAAGCTTGAGATTGTCTGTGGGCTATGGGCCATCGCCTTGTAGAAAATAAAGAGAATTCAAGCCCTGCTCACGACAGGGAGCATTCCTTTATTGTACCTTCACTATCAGAACGACCTGTGGGGAAAACGCCAGTGGCTGACAGGTAAATCAGAAGCACACTATTGGCAGGCAGCTCCTGAAATTAAAGAAAATCACATATACAAAACGACAAACAGAAAACAACAGTTTTATTGAAAGTTCATGACATTTTACAGTTATAGGGAAAACAAGAACCTAATTTAACATATAATGGTCTCCTCCAAGAGAAAAGTCACTCTTGCTAGTTCCAACTTATAACTGTTTACACAGCAAAGATTCATTATTAACCTATAACCATTGCCAAAAGTTTTGAAGACAATCTCTGCTTCAAAACCCCATCATTTAAAGAACGTTCTCTGGAAAACTTAAGATGGAGAAGTAAAGATCCTGACTATAGGTCTAAAAGACAAACTTCCATCCGTGCCTTTCTCTATATAAACTGAGAGGAATTCCCTACTCATGGTTCTTTCAGACGACCAAAATGTTTCCCAGAGCCACCATTCAGGTGGCTATTCTATTTATAGAACATGCCTATAAAATCTGCTCCTGTTTTTCAGTTCTGCATTGACTATTATGCCTAAAGCAGTTTAGCAAGAAAAACCCGGAGAAAGGAGAATGATAATTAATCAATATTCTCATTAATTACTAGGGAACATTCAAAACATAATAAGCAATTTCCATTCCAAAAATAGCTATGATTAGGATATTCTAAGGCAGTTTTCATTTTCATATTTTTCCTAAATTCTTGACTCAAATATTCAAAGAGAAGAGTGACTCTCAGATTCCATTTAAGGCACACTTTCCCCATATACTAAAAAGTACTGGATGATAGATACCTTAAAAGATGCTGCTAAGAATGTGTATAGTTGGCTGAATGTTGGTTTGTAGAGCAGGTACTTGTGGGGGTTTTCTCGCCTGGTAGGCTTGTCAGCTGATTCCTATATTTACACACAGAAAACAATGCACATACAGTCGGTCCTCTGCATCCATGGATTCACCCAACCACGGATCAAAAATATTTAGAAAAAAAATTCTAGAAAGTTCCAAAAAGCAAAACTTGAATTTGCTGTGCACCAGCAACTATTTACATAACATTTACAACTATTTACATATAATTTACACTCTATTAGATGTTATAACTAATCTAGAAATGATTCAAAGCATACGAGAGAATGTGCATAGGTTGTATGTAAACACTATGCCACTTTAAATAAGGGACTTGAGCATCTGCACGGGGGTCCTGGAACCAATCCCCCATGGATACAGACGGATGACTATACAAACTGTACTTGACATATGAATTATCAATGCCTATTTTTACTATCCTTTTCATTAAATATCTTTTTTTAATTAGCATTATGCTTATCTATTTCTCCTGCGTCTCATCAGGAGAATTCTTTATTCACACTCATGGCTTTCGCTGAATAATATCCTTCCAGGAGGAGCAGAAGCAGCAAATTGCAGATGTAGGGAGAAGGTCACCTGCATTCCTGGTTTATTCATCTGGGAAGCTAAATTCATTGGCTCCCTTTCCAGGGCTTGTAACATCCGGAACATGTCAACAGTTAGTTCACTGAACTTAACCTGCAAGGAAAACAAACCTGACCATTAATGCAGTACGCAGACCTTGAAGTGTTTAATCATATTGTTACTCTTGACTTTCATGTGTACCTGATGACACTGGATATTTTATTCCAAAAAAAGTTAAAAAAATTGTACAGTGACACCCTTATGCTCAATAGCTAGATCCTATAACATTAACATTTTTCTATATTTGCTTCATCACGTCTCGCTCCATCTATCAATACTTCTATCAATCCATCAATTTCCATAGGTATTTTTAAAAACAAAAAGTCACATAAACACAGAGACCTATATTAGATCCCATAAAACATGTTAAAACCAGCCAGGCTGAAATATGACTATGGCCCATTTTAAAATCACTTCATTACATTTTGGCACTACATAATGTTTAAGGTTGAATCCTGAGAATTGCCTGGAGGTCCAGTGGTTAGGACTTGGAGCTCTGACTGCCGGGGCCCTGGGTTCAATCCTGGGTTGGGGAACTAAGACCCCACAAGCTGCGTGGCACAGCAAAAAAAAAGAAAAAGAGAAAAGACTGTATCCTTTTCTATTTTGTTTTGTTTTTAACAACTTATTTTTTATTTATTTTTGGCTGCGTCGGGTCTCAGTTGTGGCATGCAGGCTCTTCACTGCAGTGTGCCGGTTTCTCTCTAGCTGTTACATGCAGGTTTTCTCTTCTCTAGTTGTGGCGCGCGGGATCTGGGGCGCGTGGGCTCTATAGTTTCCGGAACCCAGGCTCTCTCGTTGAGGCACGCGAGCTCAGTCGTTTTGGCGCGCGGGGCTTAGTTGCTCTGTGGCATGTGGGATCTTAGTTCCCTGACTAGGGATTGAACCCGAGTCCTCTGCATTGTAAGGTGGATTCTTTACCACTGGACCACCAGGGAAGTCCCCTCCTTTTCTATTTTGAATAATACTTCTACAGAACTTCATGTAGGCAAGGTTTTAATTTAAATTAAAATGTTTTAATTTAGAAATTTGCAAATTAAAGTTTTAAAATCCAAAATTGGAGAATTATAAGAAAAAGTTAACAACAACAAAAATGACAGATGTAAGGGAAGGATCCAAAATTAAAACTTGTATAAGTAATACATATAGAAAAGTGTATCCACTGGTGACTTTTCCAATATCCCATAATTTTCAGTAAATTACAGTTGTAGTACCTTAAATCCTCATTGTCATGGAACTATTCTGTCATGAAAAAATATCTGAAATTTGCTTTTGACAAATGTACTTAAAAATAACTCCTCCCCCATTTTTGCCTGATTGTAAAGGCAATATACAGATGTAGAAAGTTGTAAGGAAGAAAATAAAAATCACTTAAAATTTTGCTAAATTTTTTAGAGATAAATCTTTTATGATATTGGTATATTTCTTCCTTGTCTTTTTCTTGTGCATATATGTATTATACGTAGACATTTTAACATATACAATAAAATAATTCTGTTTACATAGGTCCATATTATTTTCACTTGCCATATCATAAGTATCTTCTTCTGTGATTAAAAATTCTTTCTAAACCATTTAAATGTCTATGGTACAGTCCATATATAGACACAGCATAATTTAACTATTTCCTAGCAAATGGATGTTAGGATATTTACAATGAAATAATTCTGTAACAATCAAAAGTACTATTTTTCAAAGTGAATTTTAAGCATAATTCCTTCACAGTTCTTTACCTGGTTATTACAATTACCAATAATGAGTGCATCAGCCAGAGACAACTGTCCCACAATCATGCCCTGTTCCAGCAATGGGGCTCCTGTTTCAGCAAGGCGATTAGACGTGATAACAATGGTATTATCATCATTTAATACCATCACAGGGTCTGCCTGGAGAAAAAGCAGTAAGTGGTTGATGGCCAAGACAAAATGTCAATATACGAAGTTATTCCTTCTTTTTGACATATACACATAGTAAAAAAGTATACCACATATGTATGCATTTACATACATAATTATGACAACCTTTCTTGTCAAGAACTGACCTCAATGAAAGCTGCTACTTCTTGAAGCACCAGGTTCCATTCCACTTGATCTTCAGTATTAAAGCGGTGAGTATAATCTTCAATTTCATCCGAGAGTTCCTGATTTTACAATATCACAAAGAGAAATGGTTATAGAAAAAAAATCATAAAAATACATTGTATATTGTACCATACTCCTGACAGAAACTGATACAGTTAAGAAATTTGATTATTATCAATATACGGTCCCAGTTATAACCAAAACAGAGTGAAAATTACATGGGCTTGTTTCAAAATCAAAAACTCCAAAATGATAACACATCAATAAGATCTTCATAGAAATCCACAGTGACCCATACCTACTCAGTGCTACATCAGCAATGACTTTATTAACAGGAAACTCTTAAAGGTAAACCCCCCCAAATTTTAACATTAAAAAAAAATAAATATAAATTCTTTGTATTTATATCATACTATTTCTTTTGGAAATAATCTTATTAGTAACTGGGGATGGAGGAAGAAGGCTTGTCAAAACTAGCATGTTATACTGAATCACTTTGCTGTACACCTGAAAATAACACAATACTGTAAATTAACTATAATTCAATAAAAAAAAAAGCAAAAACTAGCATGTTATACTCGAGCGCCAAAAAATCAAGAAGTATGCCATTGAAACCACTAACTGAATACAGAGTGTAACCAGAATGTAGCATGCAATAATTACAGATATTAAGTGAATCTAGAATGCAGTTAACTCTTAATTACCTGAGGTAATGAAGGATAGAGTGATGCAGACATACTAAAGGGAGGAAAAATCGAAACTCATTCACACCTTTGTAAAACATTTTTCTTGACCTAACTTTTCAATTATTTTCTTAAACCAAATATTTTAACTTTTGTTTGCATTTGCCAACCATTCATTGATGGGTGATGAAATGTAAAATAAACTGAGGGGACAAAAGTAAGAAATTAAGACAATTATCTCTGGTGTATTTGAAATATGAAGAGTTGGAAAAATTTTTTATCATTACCCTTGTCATAAGTTACCATACTCTCAAAGTTGTAATGATTTAGATATATCAAAATTATTTTAACCTTAAATCTATTTTTAAAAAACAAAATTATCCATAGAAAATGAGAGATTAGGATTTTAATTATTTTAAAGTACACTTACCTTCACCAGATCCTTTACAACATCCATTTTGTTGAGAAGAAGACAAACTACTATAAATCTTGCATAGTATCGTAGCTTCTTAACTACCAACTCAGGTCTATGGTAGAAAAATGGAAAATCATTCATGACATTTAAAAAAATATGCTTTTTGATTTTTCTAACTTTCTGATAGCTTTTTAAACTCTTTTGATACTATTTTGCACAGTTATAAACATTGCTTCATATAACCTATAGTCTTTTAACACATTTCTTACTCAATGGTTCATTACATTGTTCATTCATATATTAAATTCATTCAAGAAGTATCTATTGAAACTTAGATGCATCAGGCACTATGCTAAGTACTAGATTAGAATGATTTAAAAAAAAAAAACTATAGACACAGTCCCTTCCCTCACAGATCTTATAGACAGAAAAGTACTTAAAATGTAGAGGAGATGGATAAATACTTAAAATACTGGAATAAATATTACAATGATGTAATATTACAAAATATTACAATGATTACAATTTGAGCCCACAGGACAGGATCTTGGGTGAGAGAAGGCATCTTAGTGAGAGTAATGTTTAAGTTAAGACTATACGGAAGACGTTACAGTAGAAACTAACACAACACTGTAAAACAACTACACCCCAATAAAAAAAATTAAGGGCTTCCCTGGTGGCGCAGTGGTTGAGAGTCTGCCTGCTGATGCAGGGGACATGGGTTTGTGCCCCAGTCCGGGAAGCTCCCACGTGCCGCAGAGCGTCTGGGCCCGTGAGCCATGGCCGCGGAGCCTGTGCTCCGCAACGGGAGAGGCCACAACAGTGAGAGGCCCGCAACCGGAAAAAAAAAAAAAAGAGAAGTCACTGCAATGAGAAGCCCATGCACCACAATTAAGAGTAGCCCCTGCTCGCCACAACTAGAGAAAGGCTGTGCGCAGCAACGAAGACCGCAGACAAAAATAAATAAATCAATTTTTTAATTAAAAAAAGATGAGAAGACAACAGTCAGGAAAATATGAGGCAAAAAGACTTCTAGGAAGATCAGTCTTTGTTTTGAAATCTTATTTTTCTAACGTTAATACAATCAAGCCAGTTTTCTTATGCTTACTATTTGTATGCCATATCTTTTCCTATCCCTCTACTTTCAAGTACCTGTGTCTTTTCATGGTAACGCATCTTTTGTAGACAGTATATAGTTAGGCCTTGCTTTTTTATCCACTTTGACAATCTCTGCCCTGTATACTCAGGAACTCAGACCATTTACATTTAGCCTTATTGTTGCCTTGGCTGAGTTTGCAACTCTCACCCTGCTATTTGTTTTCTACTTGCCCCTTCTGTGTTTGTGGTCCTCTACTGCTCCCTCCTTGCTTTCTTTTCAGCTAATCAAATATATTTTAGTATTCTATTTTATATCCTCTATCAGTTTCGTATTTATACTGCTTCATTACTGTTATTTTCGTGATTGCTAGGAATAGCAACACACGTCCTTAACTTATTAAAGGCTATTTACAATCTATATTACACCTCTTCACGCCTGACCCTTAATATTTATCCCTTATCTGGAATTCCCTGGCGGTCCAGTGGTTAGGACTCTGAGCTCTCACTGCTGAGGGCCTGGGTTCCATCCCTGGTCAGGGAACTAATATCCCTCAAGCCTCACAGTGTAGCCAAAAATACATATATATATTTATCCCTTATCAATTCAAACCGGACATTTCCAATTTCTACTTCCTGTTTTCCACATCCTGCATTGCAAATAAAAAACCTTACAACGATATATTTTTTGTATATGTTTCGCATTTTCCGTAATAAAAATTTTTTAAATTCCTCTTTGACCCATGAATTATTTAGAAATGTGTCTACTGATTAACATAATGATTTTTTTAAACTGTGTCTCGCTCTTAATTTTTAATGGAATTGAACCACCGTTAGACAATGTATACTTGAAAAATTATTGAAACATTTTTTTGTGGCAAATATAAGTCAACTTCCCAAAAGTTTCATATAAGCTTGAAAATTATGTGCATTCGCTTATTGTCGTATGCACTTTCATGCACATTAGAACAAGTTTTCAATTATGTTACTCAAATCTTATAGTTGCTTATCTTCTTGACACATAATTAAATGTTATATTAAAAATCTCCATGTACAATACATGTGACCATTTATCAATTCTCCCTGAAAATATGCCACTTTTTGCTTTATTATTATGTTACATTACTGGGCATATACAAGTTTAGAAATTTTTTATTTTCCTGAGTTGTTCCTTTTATCATTATGAAGTAAAGCTCCATTCTTAATAATATTTTCTGCCTTAAATATAAATAATGTATACATAAATAGAGCAGCATTTCTTCCCCTTAGTATCTGTCTCATTTGTCTTTTGCTATGTACGTTATATCTTTGGACGGCCTCTTGTAGATAGTATATTACTGAATTTTTCTTAAAAAGGCATACTGATAATCTCTGACTTTTCCCTAGGAAGTTTAGATCACTTTCATTGACTATGATTACCAATGTACTTGGACTTGTTTCTACTTTATTATTTCGTGCTGTAATTATACTTTTTTTCATATATATTCCTTTCGTACTTTTTACTGTAATGATCATAATTCACTTTCCTCCCCCTTCTACCTGTTTTGAATTTACACCTTCTCCTTATGTTCCTTAAAAATATTTTTCTTGGGCTTCCCTGGTGGCGCAGTGGTTGAGAGTCCGCCTGCTGATGCAGGGGACACGGGTTCATGCCCCGATCCGGGAAGATCCCACATGCCGCGGAGCGGCTGGGCCCGTGAGCCATGGCTGCCGAGCCTGCACGTCCGGAGCCTGTGCTCCGCAACGGGAGAGGCCACAACAGTGAGAGGCCCGCGTACCACAAAAACAAAAAAAAAACAAACAAACAAACAAAAAAAAATATTTTTCTTAATATTTTAATAAACAAACTTTACTTACTCTAAGCTTCCTCTGAACAATAAATGGAGCTTACTAGTATGGTTGAATTCTTTATTTTCTCCCTTCTTTCATGTTGTTTTCCAGGATTTGGCACCATTTTATCTTAATAACCTCAATTAGCCATTATTAAGATGATTACTGTCTTATAAAGTCCATGCTTCCTTAGGAAGCAAGGGGATAATTTTTTCTCATGAATCCTTGTATATCATCCCTTCCTTTTAGTTTCAATTTTCCTCTTCCTGAAGAAATCCTTAGAAGTTCCTTTATGTCACCAAAACCAACCATGCTCCTGCCAGGCTGTCATAGCACTGGTCAGAGGGTTAATGACCTGGGGATTTCCCTCACGTTCTTGACAGCTAAGCTTTCCATTTAAAGGGATGGTTGATCCTTTTTTTAAAATAAATTTATTTATTTTAAAATTTTTATTTATTTTTATTTAATTTATTTATTGTTTCTGGCTGTGTTGGGTCTTCACTGCTACGCACAGGCTTTTGTCTGGTTGCAGCGAGCGGGGGCTACTCTTCGTTGCGGTATGCGGGCTTTTCATTGTGGTGGCTTCTCTTGTTGCGGAGCATGGGCTCTAGGCACGCGGGCTTCAGTAGTTGTGGCTCGCGGGCTCTAGAGAGCAGGCTCAGTAGTTGTGGCGCATGGGCTTAGCTGCTCCGCAGCATGCAGGATCTTCCTGGACCAGGGATGGAACCCGTGTCCGCTGCACCGGCAGGCAGATTCTCAACCACTGCACCATGAGGGAAGCCCCAAATTTATTTATTTTATTTATTTATTTTTGGCTGCATTGGGTTTACGTTGCTGCGTATGGGCTTTCTCTACTTGCGGCGAGCAGGGGCCACTCTTTGCTGAGATGCACAGGCTTCTCATTGCAGTGGCTACTCTTTGTTGCAGAGCACGGGCTCTAGGCGCACAGGCTTCAGTAGTTGTAGCACACAGGCTTAGTTGCTCTGTGGCATGTGGGATCTTCCCAGACCACGGATTAAACCCATGTCCCCTGCACTGGCAGCCGGATTCTTAACCGCTGCACCACCAGGGAAGTCCTGCAATGGTTGCTCCTTTTTAGCCAGTACTTCTAGGTGTTTTGGACGCGCAGGCTCAGCGGCCATGGCTCACGGGCCCAGCTGCTCCGCAGCATGTGGGATCTTCCCGGACTGGGGCACGAACCCGTGTCCCCTGCATCGGCAGGTGGACTCTCAACCACTGCGCCACCAGGGAAGCCCCCTTCTAGGTGTTTTGAAGACACTATTTTAGATTATCTAGGCTGACACACTGTCAGAAGTGGAATTCAAAACGGAAGGAAAATTTGTAGGAGGTTGATGTCAATTCATACTTAAAATATTAATAAGACAATTCCATTAATTTTTTGAGAAAAAAACAGGTTCTATGAAACTATATGATAAATTATACAATCATGTAACACAGACTACATGAACATATACTGAACCAGGGATTGGCAAACTTTCTATAAATGGCCAGACATTAAATATTTTAGGTATTGCAGGCCAAATATGGTGTCTATAGCATATTTAACTTTTTTTTCACAACCTTTAAAAACGTAAAAAGGATTCTAAGCTACCAGACAGTACAAAACCAGGCCATAGTTAGCATATGAAGTGAGGAGGCATTCGACTTTGGAAACCACTGTGTTGAACTGCTATCCACTCATACACATGAGAGGCTATCCTATCAAGCCTGAAAACCTGAATAATGACCCACAGCCTTCTGCCTGCTGCAGAAGAAGTCATCCTGTGAAGCTCACGACTGGGAGGCGTCAAAGTCTTCAAGTTTAGATTCACATTTTCCACTATTAAAAACTTCAGGGCTTCCCTGGTGGCACAGTGGTTAAGAACTAACCTGCGAGCTCTATTTACAATAGCCAGGACTTGGAAGCAACCTAAGTGTCCATCAACAGATGAATGGATAAAGAAGATGTGGCACATATATACAATGGAATATTACTCAGCCATAAAAAGAAACAAAATTGAGTTATTTGTAGTGAGGTGGATGGACGTAGAGTCTGTCATACAGAGTGAAGTAAGTCAGAAAGAGAAAAACATATACGGTATGCTAACACATATATATGGAATCTAAAAACAAAAAATGGTTCTGAAGAACCTAGGTGTAGGACAGGAATAAAGACGCAGATGTAGAGAATGGACTTGAGGACACGGGGAGGGGGAAGGGTAAGCTGGGACGAAGTGAGAGAGTGGCATGGACACATATACACTACCAAATGTAAAACAGATAACTAGTGGGAAGCAGCCATATAGCACAGGGAGATCAGCTCGGTGCTTTGTGATCACCTAGACGGGTGGGATAGGGAGGGTGGGAGGGACACACAACAGGGAGGAGATATGGGGATATATGTATATGTATAGCTGATTCAGTTTGTTATAGAGCAGAAACTAACACACAAACAAACAAAAAGAATCCGCCTGCCAATGCAGGGGACATGGGTTTGAGCCCTGGTCCGGGAAGATCCCACATGCCATGGAGCAACTAAGCCTGTGCATCACAACTACTTGAGCCTGTAGTCTAGAACCCGCAAGCCACAACTACTGGAGCCCGCGTGCCTAGAGCCCATGCTCCACAACAGGAGAAGCCACCGCAATGAGAAGCCTGCGCACCGCAACGAACAGTAGCCCTGCTCACTGCAACTAGAGAAAGCCTGTGCACAGCAACAAAACCCAATGCAGCCAAAAATAAAATAAGTAAATTAAGAAAATAAAAAATAAAAATTTCAGGGCTTCCCTGGTGGCGCAGTGGTTGAGAGTCCGCCTGCCAATGCAGGGGACACGGATTCATGCCCCGGTCTGGGAAGATCCCACATGCTGCGGAGCGGCTAGGCCCATAAGCCATGGCCGCTGAGCCTGTGCGTCCGGAGCCTGTGCTCCGCAACGGGAGAGGCCACAAGAGTGAGAGGTCCGCGTACCGCAAAAAAAAGTAAAAACTTCAGTACTGTCACCACTAGAGGTGACATGATTTTCTTTGGCAAAGTTCTTCTGGCACTCCATAACTGCCGCCTCGTCTAACCTGTTAGGACCACTACTTGTAAGATGCCGACTCTTGACACACCTGCCTGAGAAACTGTTTTTCTGGGTGGCTAACTGAAATATCTCCCCCCAGCCTCTGTGTGCTTGGAAACTTCACCTTCTCAGGATCTAACTGACCAGATTCAGCCTTAGTCATTTACAACCATCAGGGTTTGCAGCTTCTAGGACAAGTGATTATGTGCTATTGTCTTCTCCGCCAAACACGATGGGCCATGGAATTAGGACATGCTGAGAGTTGTGTATGTTTGGTGATAGGCAGTCACCTTGGTAATTGTTGGAACATACCATTCCTCCTGGCTTTGACACAGTCCTTAGGTACTGAGACAATGCAGAGAGAACTTGGCCTTTGGAGGAGAGATTTTTGCTTTTTAAAGCTACTGTGAAATTGTGGAATACTTTCTTACTCAGGTTTAATCTACCAGCTGTTGATTTTAGCAGCTGCTGCCAACTGCTACCTTGACTGGCCCCCTTGCCCTCGATGAACTGAGAAACAAACAACTTACCAACTGAACAAAATCTTTCCTAAGGTACAGGGAACAAGGTCAAGATTTCACAGACTGGACTGTCCTTTGATGCTATGTTAGTGGCCTAAGGCAAGAGATTTTGTCATCCTGGTTCCAAATAATCCCACCTCTGTTCGTCTACCCTGCTCTAGGAGGCAGCACAGGAAAACAATTCATATGTGGTGTTTGCTATTAGTGTAGAAAATGATTTTAGTAAGTCAGACTGTTGGGTTTTAAGCCAAGGGACCTAAGGCCAATTTCCCTTTTGGCAAATTAGAAAATGCGGAAAAGTGAACTATATAAGGTATTTTACTATTGCTTAAAATAGTTCTTTGCTTATATGTATTTTTCATACTCATAAAGTGTTACATAGCCCTTTTGCATTTTTTTAGGGATATAATTTATCTCACCAAGAATTCAGACAAATTGTACAACATGAATGCAAAAAAAAGGGGAAGTTGGAGGAAATACATCTATAGTGAAAGTATCTGAAGCAAACCATAAGAAAATCTGAAAGGATAGTAATTGATGGAACTTCCTGATAGAAGGAGGAAGTAAGGCCAAAAAGTCTTGGGGGAAAAATGTAGACTTCAGCATCCACACACCTCACTTGTTTCAAGCAAACTCCTTTAGACAAGTGTGAACAAGATTTGCAAGGGAATGAAGGGGATTTACAAGAGTGGGGCTTTCCCCAAAATGTTGCTGTTTAGCTGGAAAGCTTATGGTAGCCAACCACAAAGTGTTCTCTAGAAAAATAGGTAAAAACTATGTTTTCTTCTATTTCTAAGAGAATATAATCTTTCCACTTATATAACAACTGTGAGTTCTGTTGCTGAGAGTAGAAAGAACTTTCAGATATTCCAACAATTCCTGGAATGCTAGCAATAAAGATTCTCCAGCAGATCCCTGATTATTTCAATAATTACTTTCTCATCTGGAATCTACCTGTACTCCAAATATGTCTGGGACACCCATGAAAAGGTAATCATCTAAAAGGAAAAGAGAGGGATTTCCCTGGTGGTCCAGTGGTAAAGAAACCATCTGCCAATGCAGGGGACACGGGTTCAATCCCTCGTCCGGGGAACTAAGATCCCGCATGCCGTGGGGCAACTAAGCCCGTGCCACAACTACTGAGCTTATGCGTCTCAACAAGAGAGCCCGCACACTGCAAACTACAGAGCCCATGTGCTCTGGAGCCCGCGCACCACAGTTACAGTGCCCACACGCCCTGGAACCCACATGCCACAACTAGAGAGAAGCCCACGTGCCACAAGAAGAGCCCGCGCACCACAATGAAAGATCCCGCTTGCCTCAATGAAGATCTCGCGTGCTGAAACTAAGACCTGACACAGCCAAAAAGATAAAGAAAATAAAGAAATAAAAATAAATAAATATTAAAAGGGAAAGAGTACACTTGCCCGGCCTCTTTTCATTTTCCTTCTCTCACCCTAGCATTGACCACACTGCGAGATACATAATAAGTGCTCAACAGATTACTATTGGGGATGAATAACTTCTACATGATTTTTTTCCCTAACAGTGGAGCTACACAACTGCAAAATGGTATTGGATTTATAAAGAAAACTCAAACAGCATTACAGCCTTTTCTTTAGTCCTATATGACAGTTGTCAACAGGGTTTTGAATGTATACGAACTAAGATGACACAGGCTAAACAGAACAAAGGTATCAGCTAAGCCTCATTTTGGAGTTGTTTCTTTTCTATGAAACTTCGTGTAACCGCAATCTCTCATAAAGAAATAATCCACCCTTCCTTTGTGCTCTGACTCTACCCTGGTACTGTGACATCTGTTACAACATCTGTAATATTTATTGTTTTTAGGTAACACATCTCCGTATGCTTAAGAAGGTCTAGCATATAGCAGGCACTCAATAAATCCCATTAAATAAATTAAAGTTATAAATAAATGTGTGATTTTCTGCATAATTTCCACAGACTAAAAATGCTGAGTGCTTTATCTTCTTCTTTCTGAAAATGGTAGGTGCATACCTGTCCTCTTTATTGACTTGAGAATAATATGATCTTTGTCTGATTGCAGAATAGAAGGAGAAAGCTTCATTCAGATAGCTGGTCTCTGATGTGCGCAGGCTATGAGAAGAAAAAGAAACTCTTTACATTTGACAGGATCTCAATCTCTTCACCATGATAAATACTTGTTCCATTATTCCTCTCTTCCTCTACTCCAGGGGATGGGAATGACTATCCTAAATTTGAGTCAGCAAAGCAATAATCATATCACCCTTAAAATGTATAAAAAGAATAGTAACGATAATTAAAAAAAACACCTCCCCGCCGCTCCCAAGCCTTTTTTGATGGCAACCCAGAGTACACATTATTCTCATTCTTCAAAGGGCCTCTCCAAACAGCCTTCCACTCAGTTAAATCTTCCCACCTGGGACCAGGTCTTTCATGACCTTCCCCAAATTCATATAGTAATTTGTCCTTTGGCTCATTTCTTTAGTTTTTTCTCAGAGGACTCAGAAATGGACTAATCCATATTAATCTTCATAGGATGCTGGTGAGTTGGATTTTCTGTTTAACATTTCTAGTTTGTTTTTTTAATTGGAGTATAGTTGACATACAATAACATTTGTAGTGTTATAAGGGATTTCTTAAGAAAATATTCTACCAGGGAAGGTGATTTTAATGATGGGAATCTGGGTGGCATGCCAAAAGACAGGGAAAGGAAGGAATTTTCTGGCCTATTAAACTATAAATGGTCCAAGCCTTTTTATGAAACACCTGGTATCACTTAATGATAATGAGATATTTAGATCCTAAAAGGAGCTCTCTTCTTTCCTTGACTCATGGGTGGGACTATACAGATGATATTGCACTAAGGATACAATTTAAAGTATCTTTATTGACTTCATGTAACCTTTTAGACATATATGAGGATGAGCTTTAAGGTATCCTCCTGAAAACCACTCCTTCAAACATACCAGTTATGATATGTCTCTGTACGGTATCAAGATTCAGGTGAAGCCATTAAGAACCAAAAAATTCATTTAGTATTTATCTTTTATCTAAAACCAAGATCATACTCCTTTAAGTTTACAAATGAGCCTGACCAAACGAACTGTGTGGAAGGTGAGCCTCTGAAACAAATAATGTCACTTTGATTATGGAAGGGCATTTAAAAATGCTGTCTTGATCAATATGATCTGAACTTTTAGGATTTCATTTGTAACTCCTCAGTTTTCCCTCCTACCAGGTATGTATCGATGTATACTTCTGCATGCTGTGTTCAAATCAGGACAACGCTTTATGTTTTCCATTTGCAATTCACTTACTAATAATGGTAGTATAGCTGCCCAATCTTAGAAGCAATTTCCCCTATTTGCCACCGCTTCAAGCCATACCGATTATCCAAGACTTGTCTGTTTTACATAGGAAATAAGAAAATAGAAAGAAGAGAATATAAATTTCAAAAATAACCAAATCTGTTAATTTAATAGGATAAAGTATCACCCAATTCATCATGAAATTTTGAATACATAAATTGAAATTCATGAATTTTTCATGAGATTTCAACATAATCATTCAATTAAATTCAAAAAGCATTTATAAAATGTCTATTTAAAGTAAGTTGAAATATAAAAACAAATTTCTTTGAGCTACATGCATGAAAATTAGAAGCAACCCCCCCCACCCCCGCCAAATAGCTTTGCCCAAAAAACAACATCTATTTTTAGAATGAAACCATGAATCTGCCTATCCATGTTAGAGTTAATCTGCACCATTTCAGATAATATTGTCTTTAAAAATCAAATAGTATTTACATTTGAAAACCTTAAATAAATGGGGAAAAATCAGTTTGCTTTCATTTGGGTCACAAAGATGAAATATATTAAGATACACGAAGAGATAAAAAGCACTGCGGTGGTATATATTAGTCAAACTGTTCCTAATAAAAAATGGACCCTCACTCTCCTTTAACTGTAAAAATCCTTTACCGGTGCTGCTGCTGGAACTTCCAGAGTTTGGTGTAAACATCAAAAGTTCTTCCAAAATAAGACTGCCACTGCTTCTGCCCATATTGTGGCAAATCTCTGTAATGACAAGTAAACATATATTAATTTTAAAACTCGTATGCTACTTGGAAATTGAGTCTTATGATGATACAAACTGGATGGATTTAAAGCACTTGCATTCAGGCTTTCCTTAAAAAAAAAAAAAGTTACATTTTTTAGGGCAGAAATAGTTCTATTACGGGGGTCCAGTACACATTCTTTCCTGTTCTTCTCTCCTACCTCTGACAGCTCATTTGTAGGCTCCTCTGCAGATGCCTCTCCCAGGAGGTTTCTAGCACTATCTCCCTTCTTTCTGGGTGCTCGTATTCATACTCACTTATATACCGATAACTTCCACATGTTTGTCTTCAGCTAAGAACTCAGCACTTGGAAAAACATTGCTTTAGGGAATAAATCTAGAAGTGGATGTGCAGGTGGTATTGTTGTTCTCAACTATTCTACCCCCTCCCTATAAGTGAAACTATATATCCTTGTCCTTGGGCCTGGCCATTTAACTTGCTTTGGCCAATGAAATATAAGTTATCTACCACATGTCTGAGAAGAAGATTTAAGAGGTATTACATGGTTCAGCACTTTTACTTTTCCCTCTGACCTAAGACCAAGATAGGGCTGCTCCTCAGCCTGGAACACAGAAGGCACATTTAATGGAACCTCAGAACTGGTAACTAACATGGGAGCCGGAAATAAATTTCTACTATAGTAAGGTACTAAAATGTTGGAGTTATTATAGCAGCTAGTAGAGTTATTACAGGAAAAGCCAGTAGAGAAACCGGTACCAGGAGTAGGTTACTGTCCTAAGAAATACATTATGTGACACTGGCATTGAGACTGAGTGTCAAGTAACTGTTACTGAAGGCTGTCATATAATACAGTGGCAAAACTGCATTTGCCTGCAATAACTTGGAAAGTAGATAATGTGACTAATGAACTTGTGGATTTATACAAATAAGCCAGGAAACAGTATGCTATTAGGCACACGTAACAAAATATGAGAAAGAGATGAACTCAAAAAAGAACTAGCTGCGAGCAGGGCTGAAAAGGAAAAGAGGAAATCCACAAATTCCAGAACTTTCAAGATTGAAAAATACAACAATTTCTAATGCATAAATGTAAAAGACCCAGTTGAGAAATGCTAGCTATAAGCAGCACCTAGACAGTCTCATCCCCAGGGCAAAGCCTCTTCATTAAAGCCTGTGAAGAAATTTATGAAAGTGGCGCCAAGTACATTCTTTCAGGGGGACAAAATAGATCTGGGGAAAGAATCTAAGGATTTGGCTGTCTTGTAGAAGGCTGATAAGCTCAAGGTTACCTGTAAAAGAGTCTAGAAGAGAGAGAGGGGAGTGTCTCGAAATATTGTGGGCATGGCTATTGGTATGTGGAAGCTAACCTGAATCAAACAGACAGAGTCAATGAAATCCTGAGAGCGTTGTACTCTCAAAAGCCATTTGTGTTATAAAGGAATAATAAATACGCATTGATTACATCATGGTACACTTCTTATCTCACTCATGCAACTGTGGACAGCTAGTAGTGGATGGCCTCCCTTGAATGTTTAGCCTGGCTGGCAGCTAAGGTGCTGGGTCACATGTTTCTCATCATCTAACAGGCTAGCTTGGGTCCATTTACATGAGGTGGTTGCAAGGATCCCAACAGCAGCAAAAGGGAGGGCAGCTCAGATATGCATTTTTCTTTTTAAGACTTTCCATCATCTTTGCACTGTCCCATTAGGCAAAACAAATCTCATGGCCAAGCCCAGCGTCAGTGTGAGAGGGGGATGACTCATGGGCATGGATATGGGGAAGGGAATGACTTTTAAAAACAATCTGTCACAGAGACCTTATGCTTTTCTTTCTTTTTCAATTTGTTTAAAAATAAACAAATATATTTACTTATTTATTTATTTATTTATTTATTTATGGCTGTGTTGGGTCTTCATTGCTGGGCACAGGCTTTCTCCAGTTGCAGTGAGCGGGGACTACTCTTCGTCGCGGTGCACAGGTTTCTCATTGCGGTGGCTTCTCTTTGTTGCGGAGCACGGGCCCTAGGTGCACGGGCTCAGTAGTTGTGGCGTACGAGCTTAGTTGCTCCGCGGCATGTGGGATCTTGCCAGACCAGGGCTCGAACCCATGTTGCCTGCAGTGGCAGGTGGATTCTTAACCGCTGCGCCACCACGGAAGTCCCCCTTTTTCAGTTTTGAAAATATGTCTCTTAGAAAACAAAAATACTATACAATGTATAAAGCAAGAAATAAAAAACACCTTACTGCTTTTCCTTTCTAGTTCCCAGAAATAACCACCACTGAAAATGCATTTTCTCTCTATATTTAAATATATGTCAGTTTATCTATTATTTTACATAAATGGGATCAAACTATATATAATATTCTCTAACATGCCTTTTTAGTTTAATAATATATCAGGTTTCTTTAATGCATATAGAATTACATCAATATTTACTGTGTAGAGTGTCGTATATAATGAACCAATCTACTTAACCAATCCCCTCCTGATGGACATTCATATTGCTTCCAGTTTTTCCCTGTCATAAAAATGCTGCAATAAACATCTTCATACTAATAAACTTGAATAGTTATGTGACATGAGTAAAAGGCAAATTTCTGTAAGTGGAATTAATGAGTAAAAGAAGATGTGCATTTCTGTACCAGATGTTAAGACAATGAGTAAAAAAGCAAAAGGTTTTCCTACCCAAAATTTTCAGACGCTACAATACAAGACTGAACTAGCAATTCCAGTTTTAAATCTATTTCCATTATCCTTACGATAAGTAGAAACTCATTTCAGATTACCGAATAGGTTAACTACAGACACTAGTTTCCAAATTTATTGCAAGTTTTTATCCTTTTTATGTCTCCATGGATCTCTAGTGAGAGGGTGCATTAGGAAGAGCTAATCAGTTATTTTTATTTTTATTTTTTTTAGTTATTTCTGAGATATACATTTTAAAATACTAACTAGAATTATGACTTATAACATTATACCAGAACATATAAGATTCTTAGGAATTTCATGTATGTCTGAAACATTTATATTAACATATTTCCATACAAATAACCCAAAGAAATTTTAGTACTAGTTTTGTTTTTTTTAAGTTTTTATTTATTTTTTTATACAGCAGGTTCTTATTAGTCATCAATTTTAACACATCAGTGTATACATGTCAATCCCGATCGCCCAATTCATCCACCACCACCACCACCACCACCGCTTTCCCCACCTGGTGTCCATACATTTGTTCTCTACATCTGTGTCTCTATTTCTGCCCTGCAAACTGGTTCATCTGTACCATTTTTCTAGGTTCCACATATGTACATTAATATACGATATGTGTTTTTCTCTGACTTACTTCACTCTGTATGACAGTCTCTAGATCCATCCACGTCTCAACAAATGACCCAGTTTCGTTCCTTTTTATGGCTGAGTAATATTCCATTGTATATATGTACCACTGCTTCTTTATCCGTTCGTCTGTCGATGGGCATTTGGGTTGCTTCCATGACCTGGTTATTGTAAATAGTGCTGCCATGAACATTGGGGTGCATGTGTCTTTTTGAATTATGGTTTTCTCTGGGTGTTTGCCCAGTAGTGAGATTGCTGGATCATATGGTAATTCTATTTTTAGATATTTAAGGAACCTCCATACTGTTCTCCATAGTGGCTGTATCAATTTACATTCCCACCAACAGTGCAAGAGGGTTCCCTTTTCTCCACACCCTCTCCAGCATTTGTTGTTTGTAGATTTTCTGATGATGCCCATTCTAACTGGTGTGAGGTGATACCTCACTGTAGTTTTGATTTGCATTTCTCTAATAATTAGTGATGTTGAGCAACTTTTCATGTGCTTCTTGGCCATCTGTATGCCTTCTCTGTGGAGAAATGTCTATTTACGTCTTCTGCCCATTTTTGGATTAGGTTGTTTGTTTCTTTAATATTGAGCTGCATGAGCTGTTTATATATTTTGGAGATTAATCCTTTGTCCGCTGATTCATTTGCAAATATTTTCTCCCATTCTGAGGGTTGTCTTTTCGTCTTGTTTATGGTTTCGTTTGCTGTGCAAAAGCTTTTAAGTCTCATTAGGTCCCATTTGTTTATTTTTGTTTTTATTTCCATTACTCTAGCAGGTGGATCAAAAAAGATCTTGCTGTGACTTATGTCACAGAGTGTTCTTCCTATGTTTTCCTCTAAGAGTTTTACAGTGTCCGCTCTTAAAATTAGGTCTCTAATCCATTTTGAGTTTATTTTTCTGTATGCTGTTAGGGAGTGCTCTAATTTCATTCTTTTACATGTAGCTGTCCAGTTTTCCCAGCACCACTTATTGTATATCCTTGCCTCCTTTGTCATAGATTAGTTGACCATAGGTGCATGGGTTTATCTCTGGGCTTTCTATCTTGTTCCATTGATCTATGGTTCTGTTTCTGTACCAGTACCATATTGTCTTGATTACTGTAGCTTTGTAGTATAGTCTGAAGTCAGGGAGTCTGATTCCTCCAGCTCCGTTTTTTTTCCCTCAAGACTGCTTTGGCTATTCGGGGTCTTTTGTGCCTCCATACAAATCTTAAGATTTCTTTTCCTAATTCTGTAAAAAAATGCCATTGGCACTTTGATAGGGATAGCACTGAATCTGTAGATTGCTTTGGGTAGTATAGTCATTTTCACAATGTTGATTCTTCAAATCCAAGAACATGGTATATCTCTCCATCTGTTGGTATCATCTTTAATTTCTTTCATCAGTGTCTTGTAGTTTTCTGCATACAGGTCTTTTGTCTCTTTAGGTAGGTTTATTCCTAGGTGTTTTATTCTTTTTTGTTGCAGTGGTAAATGGGAGTGTTTCCTTAATCTCACTTTCAGATTTTTCATCATTAGTGTATAGGAATGCAAGAGATGTCTGTGCATTAATTTTGTATCCTGCAACTTTACCAAGTTCATTGATTAGCTCTAGTAGTTTTCTGGTAGCATCTTTAGGATTCTCTATGTATAGTATCATGTCATCTGCAAACAGTG